ACGAGGGCGACTGCGCCATCCGACCCTGCAGAGGTCGAAATGGCAGAGTGTTATACGGGGCACACCTCGGACGCACCCAGTCGGAGGTCTCGATCATCACTGGCAAGCTCGTCGAGCCCGAGCAGTGAGGATGGCTTCACCTTTGTCAAGCGGCCGAAGACAGCAGCCCAGCAGCCTACCTCACACTCCTGGGTCCACGTCGCCGCCAAACCCGCGAAGTCGACTACCACGCGCACAAGGAAACGAAGACCAGATGTGAATACATTCAAAGTCGTTGATCTGAACGGCATGCTATGGGATGGGAATGACGGCGAGGAGTCTGTGGATTATCGTTCTTCGGTGTCCGGGTTATTTGCAATGACACCAGTGGATGACTGATTGAACGATGCTTTGAAAGTATGGAACGACTTGCTACGTTTGACTGGAGACAGATACCACCGACTCTGCTCACCGCATCTCTCATCTGCAAGACCTTTACAGTACAACACCAACTCATCATATCTACTCCTGAACGCCTTCATCCGCCTTCCTTGGCATTGACGCTCTTCGCTCTTCTCCCAGATTGTCTCTCCTTCGCCATCACCGGCCAACGTCACATTATAACACTCATTCGTTGCCCGAGGGTGATGCACTCGGTGTTGGTCGAGTCTGTCCAAATTGTATCTTCGAAGATGATTCCGTGCCTCCCTATCGTCGGATGTAGTTAGAGGCGTATCGTTGCTTTCTTTAGTGCTTGTGCATACTTGGACGATATAATCGACGAGTGGAAACAGAGCTGGTGTGCTTGAGTGGCAAACTGGGACCGTGTGCCGTAGCAACTGCAGTCAATTGGATCCGGTAAAGGTGCTTTTCGAACTCCATCGGACTCACCACTGTGTCTGGTGTTTGTTTAATACGAATCTTCAAGCAAAGGACACAAAGCGAGAGCTTCTTTTAGAGGTCGTTTCAAGGGTCTGTACGACACTCTACAGAGGAGGTATGGATTTGATAGGGTCTACGATCGTTGGGGTTGAAAGTCGAGGTACGTAGTCCATCGTGGAGAGATGACTCGCCATGCAAGCACCAAGCATGCCATCAGAGTACATGGACAAGCGCCATGCGAGCAACCGCCAATAGTGACACCCGCTCTTGACAGGCGCAGCCACGTGCCACGGCCAGTCGGCCGATGCTGGTCCGATTCCGAGTACGACTAACTCGATATGATCAAGTGCGATCCTCGCGGTCCACCGTCGAAGAGAGTAATAACACCTGTTGCATGCATGAGTAGTATATACAAGCGACTGTATGGAAATGCGCACATACTGTATCAACTACACGGTGAATAAAACATCTATTGCAATCGACCTCACTCCACAAGGTCCAAGCCTTCCCCTGCTTTGTGGCTTGCTTTGGTTAGGGTGCGCATCCTGCGGCCTCGTCCGCCTTGGCGTTGCGTGCTCCACAGCACGTCGACGCGCTTTGAAGGACAGCTGCTTTGGCGGCTCGACATGGCGAAAATCAAATTTGTCCGACCCCACAAACAAAAGGATGCAAACCCCCACAATGAAGCAGCAAGAGGCAGTACACGATCATACTTGGCCATGGAGCTGGGTGGTTCCCATGCGGCAATTGGGTGGAGGAGCGATACCGAGCATTGGAGACCTCTGCGATGGACGAAGAGTACGGGCGCCTCTAGCTTGGGAGGCGTAGAGGTGATTCCGACTACGACCGCCGTGCGTGTGATCGATCAAAGCCAGGCTCCAGGTCTCGGTCGGCTCGAATTCCGGCACGGTCACGATGCTATGAATGCCAGAATGCAAAGTTCGACCTGGACGGTGTTCACGCACCTCAAACTCGCTCTCATCGACGCTAAACCACCGACCGAGGGGCTGCAAAAAGCACTAGATCTTGAAGATAAGGATGCAAGAGCTCTGGGTTGTACTATCAAAGACATCGCGCTTGCGTTCTTCGAGGACGTATTGAAGCATGCGGTCGCTGGTCTGAAAGGTCACGTGACCATGTACGTCAACATCGTCGAAAGTTGGCCAAGGGAGGTCGCTCAACGCTTGATTCGATGTTTCGAGCGCATGCTGCCACACGCGAGATTTGAGGTTGTTGATGAAGCCTTTGCTGGCATCGTTGGCTGCATGTCGGAAAGGCGGCACCTCTCTGCGGCGTCTCGATATGTTGTGGTGGATGGTGGACATTCGACGATGGTAAGTGACGACCTGCGATCTTTGGGTTTTGACTCACACCTCTTTAGACCATAGGCTGTGGGGTCGATGTGGGGAAATCCAGCTACAAGGTGACCAAACACGACACTTTTGACGCGGGAGCCGGACGGATAACTGCAGACTTTGAAGACGAGCTGCGTGTCCAAGGCGTTGATGACCCATACCATGCGGTACAGCATGCAGAGGAGTACTTCAAGGCCGATGCGGACGCCGAGCTTGACCCCCCAAACCTGCCACTGGCAAAATGGACGGCAGCATTAGCGCGAGGGCGTGAGTCGAACGCCGCACTCGATACCGACCGTATCGCCCTCATGAACAAGACAATCACAGAGGAGCAGACCGAGTCTGGACAGCAGGAGGTCATGATCATCGTCATCGTCACGGGAAGGGCTCTACGGAGTAAAACGTTCCGTAGAGATGTAGAGAAGTTTGTAAAACGTGCAGGGGTTACCATTCATTACGCCGACGACACTGAATGGTAAGAACGACTTCTTACTGTGGATGCTCTCGCTGATACATAAATAGCACTGCCGTTATGAAAGGCTTACGGACGATTGCCGACGACCCGTCTATTCTTGACGTTGATGTCGCCCCGTTGTCCGTGTGGCTTCGAAGTGAACCAGATGATAGCCATGGGGGGGCTGAAAGCAATGCCGTCCGAGTAATTCGTGTGGTGAAGAAAGGGCAGAGTCTTTCAGGGAAGGACACAACTCGACGAAAAGCCAGACGAACCACCCGCAAAGCAAAAGCGACTCGGCTAGCAACGGACAGCAGCAAAAGTATCACGCCGAGACGAGATGCCCGATACCCGGTGGAGTTTGATCTCAAGTTTCTGGGTGCTGGAGACGATCCCGATCCGCGACTGGAAATTGACTTATCGGTATATGGTACACGAGCGGACCTGAGTGAAGAGGAAACCAGACAAGGCACGGACGACGACCTGTTCGATTATACCACTTCTGACATGGTCGTCCCGTTTGGAGATCTGCGGAGGACCTTACCATTGCATAAGGACTCGTATGTCTATGTCTTTGTGCGGATGAAGATGTTTGCCACCAAGTTCGAAGTCGTCTACGCCGAAGATGGACACCAGCTGCCCAAGCTGGGGACGACCCCCTTCAGCGAAGTCGTCCGCAATGACACGCTCTCAGCTGACTGGCGGGCGCGGCATGGTGTCAACCTCAAGCTCATGCAAGTTGGTCAGATCACCCGGCCAGAGACTCTAGTTGCAGCTCACGCACGCGAGACCGTGACCGACTCACCGTCCAGTGTGATAGTCGTGCAACAGAAACGTCCACTTACTGCCGGCTCAGAGGACGATGGATGGCACCAGGCGCATAAATCACCATGCCCTGACAATTGAAGCTAAGCGACCAGGATTGATCTACTGGAAATCTCGGGCTCATCAACACTGGGGCGGGATTTCCAATCTCCTTGTGGAGTCAGGTGACTGACACCTCCGCCAACGCAGCAAGGCTCTTTGAGTGTGACTTTCTCTGGGGAAGTGGTAGCAGGTAAGTACGCTTTGAGGGATGGTCCAAACGCCTGCTAGGGCTAGAAGTCTACAGATTCGAACAATGTCAACGGGGTTATCGCTAGACTGTGCGTGCTGAACTCATACAGTACTTCGGCCGCGACATCTTCAAGTACACTATAATGCCTCGTCGAATCTCCGAGAAGCGTTTGTTCCAGGGTATAGAACAGTCCGAAGCACGACACGTCCACCGTTCCAACTGACATTGACTCGCACACAATTGATCTCAAGTAAGGGAAACTGATTTATCCGCAGCGATTTACGATTTGATCAAAATAAAGAAGCATGCAATAATACAGCATCTGAGGAGTTCGATGATGTCTTAAGAATGCCAGGTTGTGCTGCGCATTCTCGGTCGTGGGCCTTCACGCTTTTGACAGCGAGTGCTGTGGACGAGACTTGTGAGGAGAGGTTCCAGCTGTGAGCCCCCCGCGCCAACGGCGGTTCCACCCTTGTGAGCGCTTTTCGCAAGGCCGAACGCTTGCTTCCCCTGACGACTGGCCTCTGTGACCGCATACTTGGACGCCGCACGAAGATGAACGGCCCGAAATCTCACGAGCTCTTCTCGGATGTTGTCAAAGTCACCAGCCAGATCAGGATGTTGATCCACGTACCATTTCAGGATGGACCCATGCGCGATCTCGACTAGCTGGAGGACGCAGCGGTGGTTCCGAGGCATATGCATTCGAGCCCCCCGAAGCAGTAGATCCTGGCGCGCCTCGTGCTCTATCCCCAGCAGTTTGTCTATGCACTGGAATAGTGTCGATTGTGCCGCTGATATGCCAGCGTGCGACGTAGTTTCACCAGGCCGGTCGACCCCCGAGTAATGTACACCGCCAGGCCGATCGGTATCGGCTTCTACAAGCGCCCAACCCGCGAAATAGGGCCGCATTCTCCAGTAAAAGTGTTCGCTGTCCATTGTGAAGACTCGCGTCAAAAGGTAGACCAGCTTTCTCATCGATTCTCCGGCTCGAGCCAACGAAGACTTGATCATGACTTGGTGTGTGTCGTCGACGTTGATGCGTGCACGCACCAGCGAGGCGGCCCAGACCAAGTAGTTCAGCACCTTGGCTCCTGTTGCCTCGATACATGCACTGTGGGAATCTTCAGCGGATGAACACAAGACAAAACAGATATCTTACCTGACAGCGTAGAACCGCTTCTCATCATGTGTTCCAGTGAACGTCAAATCAACATCGACATTCTCTGGCACCCAGCCCCCGTCGGGATCATTTAGGGAGCAGTTCCACAATACCGTAGTCGCATATGTCGCCAGCGGTGTCATTCCGAACTCCTCTCCTAGACGGTGCAGTGGTATCGCCAACTGCGACGGTAGTTGGCGGAGGACTTCAACCTCGCCGTTTCCCCAAACGTACGCATGGGCCACAAACCCCATGATTTTAAAGGCTCTTTGCCTTTCATCCTTGCCCAGATTCTCTAAGCCGTCTGGAAAGGGCATAAGGTCAACTTTTTGTCGCAGCACGTTGATCAAAATGGCGTCGTGGAATGGCGGCTCAACGAGAAGTGCTTCCAGCAATGGATGAGACTTGCATGTAGTTGTCCCGCGACATTTCGAGGCCTGAAACGCCGCTTCTATTGAATAATCCCAGCGACAGAGGTCGACTGGCGTGGGCCACACATGAGGTCTTTTGGTCCCCTCGTTAATTTCGGCGTACATCTGCACGTAGTGCTGTAAAATTGTGCTAGGGCTTCGGTCAGAACAATGCGAGCGTATATCAGCAATTGTGGCTAACGTACCTTTTCGGAGGAAAACAGTAAAAGCTGCTTCCACTGACTGCTCTCTTCGGAGGGAAATGAAAGCTATATTCTTCAAGCAAGCTTTGTTTTGGAGTTCGCAGGCACCCTACCCCATCATCGAGCACGACAAATGACTAAATCTTTAGCGCGGCTTTCTTGGGTCATCGCAGGGAGCTCACTAGGTTCCCAGCGAATGAGTGCCTCAATGATGGGAGTTTGACGAGCGCCAAGCACATAAGAGCCTTGGTAGTATGGGCTTGATGATGGAGATGCCGTGGCTAAGTCTACTGAGCGACTATCGATATCTTCCGCTGGGTACATCGTATGTTAGGCAAATGAGCCGTGAACGTATCAATGCCCCAATATTCATGTACTCCTGACTATCTGATCAGCCGACGATCCAGACCACTAGTGTCAAGAGGCCACAGAATCAGCATACTGTAATCGCTAAGATCACATTTGATTTGTTCTGCAATGGAGCTCTCCCGTTGGAAAAGCTACTCGGAGCTCGACAGCCACCGTGCTGTTCCCGCAACAGTGCATTTCCCGCAACAAAAAGTTAGCGAACATACGACACGCCCAATATAACGCTCATGAAGCAGGCAACGACTGAACAGTAGAACACCGCCATGTTCATGTGACATGCCGTCCGTAGCTTTATCGAGGGAAGCCAACTATCCGGCGGTCCAGGCGCTTGGTCCGATGCGAGGCCGCTTCCGAGCGGCGTAGTTACAGTGACTGGGCAAGATATGCCTTGTCTCGTTGTGGCAGCCACGGCAACCATTAAGACCATGGTTACTCCATGTAGAGCTATCGATTGGGACCGTTAGCTGCGACTGCACTCGCTCTGAGGGGACACTGAATGACTCACACGCTACCAAGAATCGGCGGAAACGGAGACCTGGGAGTATCAGGTTTAGGACGATCGACAGCAGACATAGCGCGAGTGCAGCTCCAGAGATGGCCTCCACAATTTTGGCATACTCGTCTTTGGCGCCGAGATATAGGAAAATACCGTACACAATCAAAATAACTGCAAAGCAAAGCAGTTGTAGTGGTAGTAGGATGAGAGTTGCTACAATGGCCATCTTGCACTGATGTATACTCTAAACTCTTTGCTAAAACAAGTTCACGTTTTGATACCAGCTCAGACAGCAAGGGGTGTAGCAAACACTCCAGATAAGTTGTTGTCAAGCTCCATGCCAAGGAGGCATCGAAAATTTCGATGCCTCCTTGGCGATCACGTGTCGACCAACTGAAAGATACGAAGAAGAGACTTTGCCAAGCAGACATTGAAAACTGCCAAGCAGACATCAAAGGATCGTACGGTACCAAACAATGTCACTCACACGACTCCATACATCACGTGGCGTACTCAGATGCGGGTAGCAGAGTTTCCGGGCACTTACGCCAGCCGTACTAATTGCAACGACCGGCCTTCTACCCTTCTTTGAGCATCGTCTGTTTTCCATAGCGTCCTAGAGGTATCGACCAGGCGCCTTGGACAACAAGCATAGGTTGGTTCAACCTCAACAGGCACAAATATTTCCGACACACCGAGACAGAGGCAATTACAGACATAGCCACTTACAGCGGTGACACTGTGGACATACCCCACTTCGCTTTTGAGCTGCTGATGGCGTCAGGTGCTGCCACTCGCGCATACGCAAGAATCAAGCTAGAGAATTCTGTTCTGCAGGGGGGTTTTGCATGATGTCTACATATACATGGATGAGTCGATGCCAACTGTTAACACCCTGAAAGCTCCTGCAGACTGTTGTAATAAAACATTCCTGTCGTTTCCCTCGCTTTCGCACCTAGGCAACAAAAAACCATGGATCGAGAGATCTCTCGTCTGAAGCTTCTACTTATCCACTTGTCGAATATATACGGGGTAGAGACGACGCTCTGGCTTAATGGGGTGGAGGCTAAGTGGCAAGGAAGAGGCTCACACGAAGGGGTAAAGGACTTTCTCTCGTTCAAGTACGTCTGGTGAAGTCAACTAATGGGTTTAACAGCTAGTCAAGGACCTCCCAAAAGAAGCACAGGATCAAATGTGTGAGATAGTAAGAGATTCGAGGCTACATACGAACCCAATATACTAAATTGATACTATAGGGTATTGTTCGTAATACTCTTAGCCCGCGAGAACAGAAGCAAGCCTTCAACCAGGACAGGAGTAGTATTGGGCAAGAAGTGGAGTGTATCAAGGAGGCTGAAGGCCAAGCTGATATTCGGATTAATATCACGAGGAACGGCAGGAATTTTCGCCTAGACACTTCTAAAGCGACGTTTCCAGCATGGACTATAGAAGATGTGAAGCAACAGCAGGAGTTCTTGGTTAAACGGCTCTAAAGAAATCTTCCCGGCATGGACCGTAGAAGACGTGACAATCGGAAGCAGTCTAGAGCATAGGTTGAGGTGGTTTGCGGGAGGCTTGTCTTAGGGTTTACTTCTACTGTACATCATCGACCACAGAGTTGGATAAGTAGGAATAATTGCTCCGTATCACAGCACGACCTCGGCTATACAATCTGCTCCTGATAGCTGGTTGTCCATTTCCACCAAGCGTCGTCGATGCCTCGCGTTAGTCGTTCATACCATCAACTAATCGTAAAGCAGCCGAGTGCCCTCTCTGTACAATCATACCCATCGTACTAAGCCTTGATGTCACCCGAGTGATCTGGCTGCCATGCCGTATGGTTCAGAGCACTCTGCGTTCGTTCCATTTCATGTTCCGAGAAACGCAACAACGCCTCTGCTGCGCGTGAGTCGAGAGGACTCAAGAGCCGACTGGCTGCTTCGAGCGCGAGCTCGGTTGCATCGTGTTCCGGAACATCACAATCGAAGGAGACCGCGACCTGTGCAAGATTCTCTACAGTATGCATTGTTTCCTGCGACAGCCATCTTCGGTCTCCCGCGCATGTTCAATTCGTCTTGCAAGGAGCGTCAGTGCCCTCGTACCGAGGTAGTCCTCCTCCATCGCCGCAAGGGCCACGTCGATGTCGCCTCCAATGTGCCGATGCTACGATCATCACAGAGCAGCCTATGACCACCTCGAGTGCTTTTGTCCATATTCGGATTGGAACGGATCCACGATGCATTGACGGGCCATAAATGCGACAAACCACCCACTGGATACACCGGTGACCACACGTCCTCCCATCTGCACTACGGTTCTCGCCGGTGATAGTGTCTCTGCCAGGATACTAGGAGAAGACCTTGAACTGCTTCAATCCAGTGTGACACGACGGACTTGCCTTGAGGATCGTCAATCCGCATTCCACCGTCGGCGCTTCTGGCAATCGACATCATCCAGTGCTGCCTTTCATAATCGTACAGTGGAAAGATGATATACTCAGCATTACTTTCCACTCGCTCGAAACACAAGTGGGGCTGTCTTATATCTAGCTTCAAAGTATTGGGTCATCGGGCGCGGGACCAGAGCCTTAAGTATTGAGAGCATCGCTAGCGACGACATCCACTTCCTAACGGACTTCACCTCATAATCATGGCTACAGTTGGGTCCATTGCCGGGATGCTTCAATTTTGGCATAGGCTGGTCATTTGCGACAAGAAACGGATCCTCACTTGTGCCAGTACCTGGGTACTTAGTTGAAGCGCTGTCGTTAGTCGCGGCGATGTTGCGTACGTTCTCTGCTTCGTGTAGACTGCGTTGTGGTTTGTGACATACTGGGAGAGCCACCAGTGATTGTCCGCGGCCCAACTCCGATGGGAGCGCCGTGATCCACTATATCCTGACCTGCAGTCGAGATTGAGGAGAATTACATCTGACCGCAGAGAGCACTTTGGCGTACTTGTGCTCGCTTAGAGGTTGGCGTCCACCATCCGCGATCTCTTGGTCGGTATAAAGATGGCGTTGCGCAGCAGGTCGTGCCGATCAAGTGTTTTCGTCCATGTATGCGACTTGTCGAACATGACCCCGATCATTCTAGCGCTGGTGGCGCTGCTATCGCTGTCTTACATGATTTTTCAGGCCTGCCTGACTTGCTCGATAACGCTTTGCGCTGGCCACCCAAAGGACATCTCTGGCAACTTCCCGTTCTCCATCATAAGGGCGTGGATCAAACTCGGGCGTCTCATCAAAGCACAAGTATGCGACCAAGACATTCTGGACGGTTTTTTCGCCTCGTGTTTTGGCGGAGCACATACAATCCGAGAGCTTTCCTTCGACGGGTCAACTGTAGTGTCAACTACTGAGCCTCTGAACATGCAAGCAATCCTGGATTCGCAGTTCAACGTACGTTGTCGTAACATGACAGTTTCCAGCGCGCTGATCGAGTGAAAGGATTTCGGAATCGGACAACAGAGAATCGACCAGTTCCATCCCTTGCTTGGCGATTCTATTTTCTCAAGCGACGGAAAGTGAGTAGCCTGAGACGCAGCCATCGGCCGGACCTGACATAGTTCGCAGCAAATGGAAGCGCGCTAGACGAATGTTCCGGCCGCAATTTAGCAGGCACAATATCAACAATTTGGAAAGCACTGAGAGAGCGTCGCGAGCATTGATCAATACGATCGATGGCGATGAGTCTACCGCTTGGACATCCGATGTAGAGCTTCTGTCTTTGTTCAACAAATTCACACTCGACACGGCCACAGAGTTTCTATTCGGTGAATCTCTTGACTCGCTGTCTTTGACCCCGGATGGGAAGACTGGATGTGCAACTTCGAACGAGCAAGCCAGCAGGCAGGCTCAGTCCCGTCAGTTTCAGGACGATTTTGAATTGGTCAGTCTCAAACTCGTCAGTCGCATAAGATACCAAAGCCTGTACTGGCTAGTGGACGGCTTCAAGTTCCGAATGGCGATTGCTAGAATCCGGAAATTCACGGGACATTTCATTCAAAAGGCGATCCATTTGCGAACGACTGGGAAAGCGAACAGGGGCTACAATTTACTCGAGGCTCTCGTGAATGACACTCGGACGGCCGAAAATAAAAATCACGTGGAACTTGGCGATCAGATGCTGGCCATCCTCGCTGCGGCCAGAGATACCACTGCCGGCTTCCTTGCATGGTGCTTGGTTCGTCTCGCTCTACATCCAGACATCTTCCAAGAGCTCCGATCTGCAATCTTGAAAGACTTCCAGGCGTCTGTTCCTCTGACATTCGACACGCTGAGATCTTGCCGGACTCTGCAATTCTTCCTGAATGAAGTGCTCCGTTTGCACCCTCCCGTACCGGTGAACAATCGCCGGGCCCGAGTAGACACGACATTGCCGGTCGGTGGCGGACCAGATCAAACGTCTCCCATCGTCATCGCAAAGGGGCAAGTCGTCATATACTCGGTCTACCTCATGCATAGGCGCAGAGACATATGGGGCGAAGATGCCGCAGAGTTCAAACCAGCACGATGGCAGAAAGAAGCCCCTCCGTGGCACTTTCTCACATTTAGTGGTGGGCCGAGAACCTGTCTAGGCCAGCAATTCGCCATGACGGAAGCTGCTTACGTCCTGGTTCGACTACTACAGCGCTTCGATTCTATTGAGCCCGTCAATAGGCCCGAGATGAGTGCAATGAAGAAAGAGTTGGGCTTGACCATGTGGCCGAAAGATCGAGTTAGGGTGCGATTCCATCGAGCCATGGGCATGACGTGAAGCTTGAGATTATTGGGTGATTTACAGATACTACGTACTATTGTTACTGCCGTGGGCTTGAGCAAGAGGATAGCAGGGCGAAGAGTCATCTCCTTCCCTATTCTGGCAGAATTTTGTCACCATGTTCTCTCCGTCCCTAGGTATTGACGGGTTCATGCCAACGACTTTTATCAGTCCCCGAGCATGAGGCTGCTTGTGCTCTACCACACGTTAGCTTCAGTCCACTCGGGCTCAGGGGGAGACATTCAAGTCGTCGATCCCAATAATGGAATCATGGCTGAACTCCGAACTCGCTTCTGATTCATCATAACTATCAGGCAGAGCCGCGGCGTCTTCGCCCAAGCATTCGTTGCAAAGATCATTGTCAATACCGAGGCATGTGACAACAGAATTGGTACACATGTCTGTCGTCCATGCATCGACCGAGTACGCCGATAGTGTTCTGCCGTCGCAGTACTCGATGCTTTCGTCGACCAGGTAGTAATCGTGGCCGCACCGGTACATGAAGTAATCATATCGGCACATAATGTCGTGACAAAGTAGTATCTTAATGCAGGACGTACAGTATAGGTGGGAAACCTTTGCCTCGAAAGTTCGAGTTGGAATGTAAATAATACTTTTACCACGTACCTGCCACTCATACCGGAGACGAATATAACACATGGCATGTGCCTACCTCTTTAAACGCAGACTGGGAATGCCCCCACGATGCACTGCCAGACTGCTGGCGAAGTCGAAGCCACGAAGCACCGAGAGGTTTTCGAACATGCGTGCGCCGGCTGCTGGTGCTGCTGAAAGAGTTGCTGCAAATAGTATGCGGAGATATATCAATCAGGGTTATGGCCACGGCGCAGATAGGCTTAGCAACAGCGACAACAAGCTGCTGCTCCGCAGTGACTTGCACAGCTTGTGGGACAACAGGGCTTTCCTTCTTGCGCCGAAGGAGATGATGTCTTTGTTCTGCATGTGCTGGAGGATTCGTTGGAACTGCTTGCGCGCTAGATACCACAACGTACGAACATATCCCTTGTCAGTAAGCCGAGAGCTGTTGTTCGCTCGTTTCGCTTGGGCCCTACTCCCTCACGTACGTAATTTCGTCGCAGCTCGCCAAAGCCGGACAGTCTCTATTGGACTGAAGACGGGAGAGCTCGTCACTCGAAGACTGTCAGCCAACCAGTGCTCTGCTCTTGCAGAGGATCGGAAGAAAAGCCTGAGTCCAAAGAAGCGAAAAGCGCAGGAGTCGGGAAGTGACAATGTGACGCAGGGAATCGCACCTTCCGCAGGGACAATTGACTACAGCCCCGCCGCCGATTCCGCTTACGCCGCGCATGAATAGTGTTACGACACATCCGATAGTGGGAACGGGTATGCTTCGAAGAGGCGGAAAAGGCAATCTTCAGGCGAACGGGTGAGATCAGACGACGATAATACTAGGTATTCCATTACAGTAGAGAAAGTAAACATAGTGGAAAAAGCATTCGGCCAGGATCAGCAGGCGAGAGGTAAGGTGAAATTGAAAACGACCAGGCCGTCTCAAAAGCCTGGGGTTAAAGAATCTTAGCAATGAATTGCCTTGCCATTACGCAATCAACACCATGATTCAGGAGATAGTCGACGTCTTGATCGTAATGAATGAGCTCCAGATCCATGTTTCGTTCGTGAGCAGCCGGAAGAGCTTTTCGATTTTAGCGTTCGTGACTCTCACGAGTTCTTGCTCTGTTATTACTAGCCATATTGTTCGAGGGCTTCCTCGCAGGTTCCAACAAGATCAGAATCGAGCTGCCTATTTGAACCCTAATGAGGCGTTGGATCGTGTCCCGCTACCATTCAGGGCAGCACATTGTTAATTATAATTAGAGGCTGTGAAGTCGGCGAGTAACTACGGTCTTTCCTGTCGTGAAGTTGCTGTTCATACTCTGCTTAAAGTCCATGTTACATAGTTTGTTGGCCGTCGCTGTAATCTTCTTCCACATCTAGCTAAGCAGAGCGTTTGGCGAGCAACTACTCCTTTTATCCGTCCGACCATAAGCTCTAGTCATAGTCCGAGGTATACCCACAACAGTTGAAGGGCATTTCTACTTACAACTTCTCACCCACTACTATACTTGGTGTACAGTTCTTATGAGTGCCTAGTAATACGGCCTACTATTCCGGCAATCGCCAGGTCTTTTCCAACGACGGTAGAGACTTTGAACAGTTCAAAATAACGGGTACGATCGAGACAAGATTCGCCTAATCCACAACTGACAAATGTGAGACAAATCAAAGCTGTCAGAGCCATTTACTTGCGCACAAATGGAACGATTGAGCCTCATTTCCGGTGCCAGTAGCAAGTCAGCACACTTCCGTACACGATATCCTACGCCAGGGATGACCACGTATAAAGATAGGATGCCGAAATTCGTGTCTAAGAAACGCAATCTTACAAAGAATACACGCCGGCCCGACGGATGTAAACGAAGAGAGGAGTTATTACAGGCGTTGAGTACAGCGAAAGAGGCGACAATTTGCGCTACGAAGGGAAGTCGTCTATTGGAGGCGGTCAAGAAACAGATGAACATATTGGAGGAGAGAAGAATGTTCTGTGTCGATGCACAGCATAAATGGCTAAGGGAGGACCGTGGGCAGTACTTCCCTACAAAGAGACGGGAATGTCGCATAGGGGAGGAACTAAACACTATTGAAGATCTTCTAGAGCGTCTTGGCACGGTTATGGGGACTTGTGAAGGAGTAGTCTGTGCTTGTCAACTGGTCACCAAAACTGCGGGAGACAAAATTAGACGAGCTAAGTCGGATGCTGATACAAGAGATGGTGCGTGCTCTAAGACCACGTAAAGAATGTTGTGCTAACGAGGAACAGTAAACGTTGCATTACACAACCACATTGAAATGTATTCAGAAGCAGGTTCTATCGATCCGGGTTTTAGGTTAGACTAGGGGAATTGCATTGAGAGAATGCTACTGCTTTCCAGCTTTAGGGTAAAAACCCTCTTGCTCGGCGGAAGCGAGCCTAATAGTCGTATGTGTGATTTATCTGGGCCTACAAAACACGTGCTCGGCAACTCCAGATAGCCGTCAATACTTAACCCTAATCTCCCTCGACTTTGCGCAATTCCAGTCAAAAACTTTTAACTTAAACGGCAAAATTCATGGTGCAACGTTGGTTCTATGTGACTCCGCTTACGTTGCATGACGCAAGTTCCGGGGGTGCTAGAATTGGTGTTCTAAGCCGGTAAGTCTGATCTTACTCTTCGAATCACTTGGGACGAGATTTCGACCTTTAAGTCTGTCTCTCGTTCGAGGGGCGCCTCAATGCTGCACTCTTTAATGACAATTACATATTTCATAACGCTCCAGAGACTTTGAACCTCGTATAGTTTGATTGCATTATAGTCAAAATTATTGTCTAAATAAGCAGCCCCCGTGACGGACTTTTCCCTGTGTTGTTAGAACATCAGGTCGTTTAAGAGGAGAATAACACATAAGAATGCCGCAGAGAAGCCGACTAGACTTCGTCGCACCCAGTCAGATCACCAACTTGCCATAGCAACATTTTGGAAAGAGTGAGGGTGGAGCGACATGGTATTCCGATGACGTCGAATATCCGAGGCGCTAATGTAGCCCTGGTGTGTGCTAAGGTGTAGGAGCAAAGCGCAAGCACTGTGCGTTGGGCGTCTGATGTTCAATTTCGACATGATCTAGCCCTGGCAGGAACCAGGAATGCTGATCGAGAAAGTGCTGCACACAGTCTGCGACTAGGGATACTGTGCATGCACAAATCTTGGCGATATGTAGCGACTTCAGTCGTGGGCAGCTCCGAGCGTAACGTTACCTGGTTCGTCTTGTTCTTTCCGCCGATAGCACACAAGTACAGATCGCCATCGGCGTTCGCAACGTAACCTCACGACTGCATGTCGAAGTGTTCGGCAAGCTTCAATCAAGTTCCAAGAAGTCGATTAAATTTCGGTCCCGAGCTGTACGTTGGCCTCTTTTTCGACGCCTTACGTATTACTGCTCATTCGACTCCAAAGTTGTGCGCTCAAGCTTCGGGTGAAATGACAGAGTTGATTAGAAATGCGAGGTCGTGGCTACCAATTGTTCCTTAGTTCCGCGATAGTGAGCGCTTAGATGCTGTGCCTAATGACCTAGCCTTCCCTCACACTGGATCTTGCGTCATTCGCCATGTGGTCCCACGCTTTCCCATTACTCTAATCAGATTGCCGAGACCGTGCCCAATGCTCAGCACTTTGGAGGTCGTGAGGGTTTCTGTTGCCAAAATACTTTTCGACACATCAAGAAATTTCTGTGCGAGCTTGAGAACTTCGCCGTCTTCCCGTTCTTCAACCCAGGAGATAGGCGGGACTAGTGCTTCCCGTCGCGCGGAGCTCGTATTCCAGGCACGAGAACCCCTCGATCGCGAAATGGTGCAGTAAAGGTACCCAAAAGCTTGACTCAATATGTACGCTTCATGTTCGAGCCAAAGTGGCACAATGAGATCCAGACGACGGAAGCCTTCTATGATGTTTTCAGGGATCTCAATTGCTGAATTTTGTGCTTCTGAAAAACTAGCAGCCTGTCCGAGATAGATGCGTATGCCAGTGTGGCAGCCAAGAGCATCGCAGGCCTCAGCGCGCAACATTCGTGAGACCGACAGCAGTGAACGAAGCGTACGAAAGCGCTCGTTGCCCACCTCGAAAGGGTCCAGCACGCAGCGCCCGCGATCCTGACACCGCTCTATGCTGGCCAAGAGAGACGACGGCAGGGCGAGGACGTATATGATGTCGCGCAGCTCTCGGGGCAGCTCTAGAAACGACATAAGGCGTATACACGTAGGGACATCTTCGCACGTGAGAATCAGAATGCAGAGTCGAGATCCAAAGCGATTTTAATTGAATGCCTAATTTGCCATGGAGACCAGATACGGGGTTCAGCACTTCATGGCACCCTAGCAGGGGGATAGAACACAGTGGTATAGTGTACAGTACGGTAAGCTGGTTCACTCGAGACTCTGCGAAATCAGCCGATGTTTCGTTTGTTGGGTAAGCCACTATACCACAACACGGGTGATCGCGGGTACGTATCTAGATCTGTGACGGACTGCTTCGATGCGCCGGTTGTTCTCACCCGAAAGTATACTTTTCTCGTGTCATTCACCTCGAGTCCACCTTACGCATTTGAGAAAAACAAGAAGAGACAAAGCCCCAGATCTGCATCTAAGTTAATGAAGCTGTTCAAGTGCTGCACGCGCGCGTGTCGCATCATGAGCATCCGATTCACATGCCTGCTACTCATTATCTTCCTAGTGTTGATCACGAACCGACGTTCGCCTCAACATCGTCTTTCGCCGTTGGTCGAAGACACCAATGCATTGGAAAATATTAGTCTTGTGGTTGCCAGCCAGAGCGGAGACAACACTACATGGCTAAACGGCGAGCTTCCTTCCTGGACTAAAATCGTCTATGTGACAGACAGTGCAGATGCGGAGTTTGCCGTTCCAGTGAACAAAGGACGAGAGAGCATGGTCTATCTAAGGTACACTTGGGGTGGGAGCAATCCACGATAGTGCTGAATGTATCTATAGCTATATCATCGATCACTATACCGAGCTTCCCGAAGTTGTCGTGTTCTCGCACGCGAATCGATATCAGTGGCACAACGATGACCCTTGGTACGATGGCCTCCGAGTCCTGTCTCGGCTCAACTTATCGTACGTAAAGGAACAAGGATATTCCAACCTCCGTTGCGTTTGGACGCTAGGATGTCCGGTCGAGATACGGCCCTTGCTAGAAGCTGAAGATGACATGGCTCTATCAAACTCGTACGATGCTGGAGCAGGGTCTTTCTATAAAGCTGCTTTCGAGGTGCTCTTCCCGGGAGTAGCCGTGCCGGAGGCCGTGGGCGTGACGTGCTGCGCGCAGTTCGCTGTGACGGCTGAAGCGATTCGACAACGACCGAGGGACGACTATGAACGATATCGCGAATGGTTGATGGAGAGTGAGCTGCACGATGGCTTGACAGGTCGTATCACGGAGTACTCCTGGCACGGTAAGGTTTGTTCCGGTGGAGGCACCTGCGATACAAGAACACTAATGAAGTCTAGTCATTTTCGGACGGGAACCAATTTTCTGTCCTTCCGCAAAGCACTGCTACTGTAGACTACATGGACTCTGCAATGTAACTTGTGAAGGCGACGGGGTCTGCCGTGAATACTATACGCTCCCAGACCACACACACTTTCCAGATGGCTGGCCGGAGGTCGACCGACAAGGGCAGTGGCAGAATATAACGCGGTTGCGGGATGATTACGAGCGAATGTACCCACATTGAGAAAGATCTTAAGGGCACAAATGCGGTCATGACCATTATCCCTCACGTGAATTGCTCGATAAGCGTATACGTTCCACTTGTGATGCTGTCTTGTTACTAGCAGCTAGCCGACCTCTCAGAGCCCCGTGGACTTTACCTTTTGAGCAAGGCACGCACTCACTTGCTCGTGGCTGGTTAACTATTATCATCTTAGCTAGTCCCAGTCACGTTCTTTGTCAACGTCATCGTCAAGATACGCTAGCAGACCTGTAGTCTACATTTTGGTGCATTTACTACGTTAACTTACTCCAGGTTTCAATCCGATCTTTACAACACCTCATTAAGCAGAAGTGGAGTAACGTCTATCCCCACGTCACGAGCCACCCGCTGTAGCGAGCCACGTTCTCGTTCTAAAACCCCTCACATTCTCCTAGGTGTGCATATAAGTATGTCTCTGCTGCCGTAACAGTCTTTGACCATTTCTACATCTATACATTGTCGCGTTACACAATAGCAGCAGTCCTTACTTTGCTGTCGATTGATCCGTTACCCCTGCTAATCGTTTGTCATTCGCTCTACCCCTTATCGGTTGCAGGTAGAGGCTTATTGTCAGATATCGGCGTGCTAAGACGAAACTTCAGCTACTAATAGAAGTACTTGCGAAGTCTGAAGTCTTTTTTCGATGTGGAATGTCCGATCCGAGAGTTTCTCCGATGGAGGAGTATCTTGAGGGCGCATTATCGCTTAGGGTGTCTTAGCTCGCCGCTAGCAATATACGAAACAATGGATATTATTTTCAGACGCTTTCCTTCTTTTAGATCTCTTCAGATTTCTTTCAGACGTGATGAGTCGGATTCTAGAAGTGTCCATGGGGCGTTTCATTGTCCCTGATCTATTCTTAGGCACATTTCGCAGGTACCTGCAGCTGCCCTGCCTTCTCAACCCCCTTCCACTCCTCCAACACTCCAACATCGTCGGCTAACATGGATAGAGCCAGTCAGGCACTGGCAGAACACCGTTCCCCCGATCAGCCTATCTCATTTCGTGCATGCGCAGATCGTAGCAATGTACCCCGAACCACCCTCCAGCATCGAGCACGCGGTCGACGGTCGATTCAAGAGAAAGCCCAAAGCCAACAATATCTATACCCGTGGGAAGAGAGAGCTGTTGTGAAGTTCCTAGCGCACCAGTAAAGTACATAGGTTCGATAGCCTTCAGTCTTGCACGCCGGCGGGTTCCGGCGGACAGGCCAAGCAGTCCTCCTGGCAAGAATTGGGCTCAACTGTTCTACAAACGGCACCCAGAGCTTAAGGCGAGTACGACTAGCGCTCTGGACTGGAATCGTTACGATATCTATGATAAGGCAGCACACTGGTTCAAGGTTGCCGGAGACCTTTTCCAGGACCCGGCTATCCT